CCAGCGGGGTGAGACTCGCCAGGCCGGCGAGACCCCGGCTTAAGGCGGCGAGGCGGCGGCCCCGCAACGAGGCGGAGTGCCCGCGGCGGACCAGGCCTCATCGAGGCGGCGCCGACCCCCGCGCCCTGCCCCATCCGCCCTCCGGGTCCGGTGGTGGTGGTGGTGGTGGTGGTGGTGGTGGTCTTGGTGGTCCCATGCCTTCCCCCGCCTCGCCACGCGGCGCCGGCTAATGACTAATGCTTCCCGACCCCCTGCGGTCGTCGGCCAGGGCGTCGGCGTCCTGCGGCCGCCGGCGCCCAAAACTGCCGGCGATGTCGTCCGCGCTCGGCGCGGCGGCGCGCCTCTTCCTTGATTTTTAATTTTTCCAGCAGCCAGGACAGAGGCATCTTGCTGCTGTGCATTCTGCCCGGAATCTCGGGGGCCATCTTGGGGCTATCTTGGAGGAGGTCAGTCAAATGCGGGGGGCTCCTCAATTAGCAGCGCCCCCCAGGAAGGCAACATGATGCCCAAACCTCAGTATAATTGATGATTTTGGCTTCCTCGTCGAGGCCAACAGACACCACGCGCCCCACCTAGCGGACTGGGTAGGGGGAGGGTCAGGCTATCCACCCGCCCGCAAGCCGTCTTGCTCACTCCCACCCGCCTTCCCGACCCCAGCCTGCGCATGTTCAGCGGTCTTCTTTCGATGGACAGCTACTGGGAACCAAGACCGATCTCATGTGCGCGACGCTGGGGCGAGGTGCGCGACGCGTGCCAGGCGTGCCACGCGCGCAAGGCACCCCTGGGGCACGAGCGTGCCAGACACGCCTGGTGCGTCAGATGCGTCACATGCCTCCGCGTGCGCCAGGTGTGCCGCATACTTCAGCCGCGCCAGGTGCGCCACGTTCGGGGCACGTGCAGAGTGTGTCAGGTGCGCCCGCGCACATGACAGCACACATCGGGAAACATGTCGGCCCCCGCCATCCATGTCGAGAACCAATGCACATCATTGTGTCTGGTGGGCCTGCGCACATCGGCCATACGCCAGCACTTGACAGTGATCGCGGGGCGGTCGCGTATGATGCAAATTAAACCGCGAGGTGCATTTGGTTTTTTTGGTTAGAAATGGTTGCCCTGCGCACAACAGGCAGTATGCTGACCCCCCCCGCCGTCCCTGTAAGTGCTCGCGGGCCTCACGAACATGACCCCGGACCTCGCCCCAAAATGTATTTTGTACTGTTTTTTTGAGAGGGATGGTGGGGGGTGGCGCATCGGGCTGTCAGCGCATGCTTCAAACGTGGAGACTGATACCGTTTTGTATCGTTTTTGACAGGGATGGTGGGGGGGGTGCCCGCATGGTTCCTGGTTGGCAGGCGGTCGCCTTAGGGAGGGGGTGTATATTAATATGGGGGCAGTGATCGAGGCCCCCCCTTCGCCCGCAAGCCGTCTCGTTCATCCCCTCCCGCCCTCCCCACACATAAGTAACACCCGAGGGTGTCTCAGCATATTGCTTAGGAGCGCCACGCATGCCATGTGCGCCGCGGGTTCTAGGTGCACCAGGCACCCTGGAGGCCCAAGCGAGCCAGGCGCGCCAGGTGCGGCACGTGCTCCACGTGTAAGCAATATGCCGGCACCCTCGCCGTCCCTGTCAAAAACGAATGCAAAAGGGTCGCGGGGCGCCTTTGCATGCTCTGGATGTGGAGGCAAAGTGCATATTGTATTGTTTTTTGTAAAGGATGGTTGGCTTGTGCGCAGCGAGCAATATTACGGTACCGCCGCCGTTTTTGTCAAACACTAATGCAAAGCGGTCGCGGGGCGCCCGCGCATGCTCGAAATGTGGAGTCAAAGTGTATTATGTATTGCTCTTTTTGACAAGGACGGTTGGCTTGCGCGCAACGAGCAATATGACGGCACCCCCGCTGTGCCTGTCAAAGACCATTGCAAAGTGGTCGCGGGGCGCCTGTACATGCTCCAGCTTTGGGGGCAAGGTGTATGTGTAGCATTTTTTTGACAGGGGTGGTTGGCCTGTGCGCAGCGAGCAAGAAGACGGCATCCCCGCCGTCCTCCTCAAGAGGTCGTGCGAAGTGGTCGAGGGGCGCCCGCGCATGCTCTAGCTTGGGAGGCAACGTGCATGCTGTGCTGTTTTTTGACAGGGGTGGTGGTGGTGGTGGTGGGGCGGCAGGTCTCGGGTTGGCCCACCGTCGAGTGGGGGAGGGGGTGTGGATTGAAAAGCAGCAGTGCTAAACCGTTCTCCGAAGGAGACGAAAAGGGAATTGGGAGAGGGAACGCCCTGAACCCCTCGCGCCCGAAAGGGCTGGTGGGATGTGTGCAGCAGTTTCCACGGGTGGGTGGGGGGGTAGGAGGCGGTCCTGACAAACAACGGGGAACTCGCTGGACATCTCGATGAGCTGCACGTTCTTTGCTCTTCGCATGTTTGGTTACGCGCTGGAAGGATGCAAGGCGGTTGTTTTTCTAAACGGGGCTCTCGCCTGAGAGGCGGCCATCGCGTTGAGACTTCTGCAAGGAGGGACTTGGGGCGGCAGGGTGTATTGCAGCATCGATGATGCATCGCAGGTTTACTTTGGTCCTTCGCCTCCTCCTCCTCCTCCTTCCCTTCTCACCTCCCCCCTGCCCTGCTACTATCTCTCCTGCTCTTCTTTGTTCCTCCTCCGCCTCCTCCCTCACCCCGTCGGCTTCCTTCTCCTCGCCCTTCTTGTCTTGCCATCGCCGCCGTCCTCCGCCCTCCCTCCTTCCTTCCCTCCCCTGTCCTCCCGCTCTCTCTCCCCCTCGTCGTCCTTCCCTTCTCCGTGCTCGCTGCCCCCCTTCTCTTCGTCGTCTCTCCCCCCCCCCCCTGGTCGGGCTCCTCCCCTCCCGCATCCCCTCTCTTGCTCTCCTGCCTGCCCCCCCCCCCCTCCGCGCCCGAGGCCGAGCTCGCGTCGTCCGCCCCTGCCCCGCCTCTGGAGGTCCAGCAGGCTGCGGAGGGGGAACGGCTGGGGTCTCCTCCTCCTCCTCCTCCTCCACCACCTCCTCCTCCTCCTCCTCCTCCTCTTCCTCCTCCACCACCTCCTCCTCCTCCTCCTCCTCCTCCTCCTCCTCTTCCTCCTCCACCACCTCCTCCTCCTCCTCCTCTTCCTCCTCCTCCGCCTCCTCCTCCTCCGCCTGAACGGGATGGGGAGGTCGAGGGGGGAGGGGGGGGGTTGAGGGGAGGGTTCGAGGATCGAGGATCGGGGTCCGCTTCCTGGACGTTTTTTTATCGTCCTGGGGGTCGCCTTCGGGACCACGGCTGGATCCGCCTCGAGATGCTTGCTAGAATGCACCCGGACAAGATGTCCAGGCAGGGACTGACGGGGGCGGAGGAGGGACAGGGAGGCTAGTGCAGAGGGAGGGAGGGGAGGGATGGGCAGGTTCTGGGTGAGGGGTCGGGAGGGGCAGGGGGAGGCTGGGGTCAGAGGGGAGGGGTGCCGAGGGAGTCGGCTGGGGGCAGCGAGATCAGGAGGCCCAGGGGGAGGAGGGGGGGAAGTGGGACGGGAGGCAGCGCTGTCCACGACCTGGTCGGTTCGACGATGCATGCCGAGGCTTGCCCATAGCTTCGGTCTAAGTGTCTACCCACCCCCAAGGACGACCCCTCTCCTCCACCAGTTGGGTTTGTCCGCCTTGGGTCGACTATGCGCACGCTGATTGGTCGATTTTTGATTCGGGGCAGCTTTTGGACAGCCATACGCCAGTGGGAGAGCCGAGTACCCCGCACGATGACTTCAGGAGCGGCCATGTCCAGGGCAGCTGCTGCCAATCCAGGGCGCCTACTGACAGCCCGCGGGGTACTTACTGAACCCCTCTCCGAGGCGGCTGCTGACAGTCCGCCGTGGTGCTTACTGACAGGCCGCTGCCAACCCCACTGCCGTCCCGCTTACAAGCCGCTGCCAGACTACTTCGACGCTGCGAAAGTTCGGCCAAAATGCAACGCCTCCCGTAAGGCGACGGGTCCCCGGTACGACGCTGTCAGTGGCGTTGCGCCCGCGACAAGAGAGGAGACGTCAAAGGGGCCCGTTAGGCCGCAGGACTTCAATACAATGTTCTGTTCAAGCATTGTTTTGCCCAAGTCTCGGGCGGAACCGCCATTTCGAATTCGAACCCGATCGTTTCGAAATCCAGTCGATATCGTTTTTTGAAGGAAGTCTTGGGGGGGGCACCATTTCCAAATCGAACCCGAAAGTTTCGAAATCGTTCGAAACTGTTTTTGCAGGAAGTCTCGAGCCAAAGCCACAGTTTCGAAATCTTTGATGAGACGTTTCAAATTTTCATTGCCAAGCGGTGTGGCCATTTCGAAACGACGGTGTCGCTTGAGACATCCTCAGGTAGCAATTTCCAACGATTTCGAAGCCTGTCTGGTTCGATCTCGAAACGGCGCCCCCGCCCCCGAGTGGGAGGTGCTGCTGAAGGGGCTGTGCCTGTGGCCCCACCCGATGCTCCCCCCAAGCAGGGAAAGACTGGTCTACTCTGTAAGAACGGTTTTTTGAAGGCAGATTTGCCTTCAAAAAACCGTTCTTGCAGAGTAGACCATTTTTTGGAGGCAGATCTGCCTTCAAAAAACCGTTCTTACAGAATTTTTTGAAGGCAGATCTGCCTTCAAAAAACCGTTCTTACAGAGTCCACCACCACCTCACCGCCCACCAGACCACCCCAACCCAACCCGGAGGCCCCGACTTGCCCTTCATCTCCAGCGCGGGGAGGGCGTCGGGGAGCGTTGCGCAGACACACCCGCCCCCCCCCCCCAACCCGAAGCTCGGGTCAAATTCGGGTCTTCGGGTTGGGCTGGGGTGGGCTGGTCTTGGCATCGCTCGGACGTGTGCACTTCTCCTTCGGCCAGGACCCTCGAGGAGCATCCTTGATCCTTTGGCGCGAAAGCCGCGCACGAAACCGAGCAAAAAAACACGGGGAATGGACGTCCGAGCGATGGCCAGTGGTAGGTAGTCACCCCCCCCCCTCCCCTCCCTCCTTCCCCCCCTCCCCTCCCCCGAGAGAGGTCGCCGCGCCTCCCGCGGCGCAGCGCTCGCCGGCCGCGGGCCGCGCCCCGCCGGAGGAGGAGCGGCCCGCGCCCTCCGAGGACCCCGGCGGGGGCCCGCGGCCTCGCCGAGGCCGCGGCGGCGGCCGCCGCCGCCGCCGCCGTCGTCGTCTTCGTCGTCGTCGGCGTCGGCGTCGTCGTCGTCGTGGTCGTCGTCGTCGTCGTCGTCGTCTTCGTCGTTGTCGTCTTGGTCGTGGTCGTGGTCGTGGTCGTGGCCATCGTCGTGATCGTGGTCATCGTGGTCGTGGTGGTCGTGGCGTTGCCTGTGTTTCACCCTTCCTTCTTGGCGCGTGTCTTGTTTTTGACGGTCAACCCGTTTTGGTTTCGGGGGGTCGTGGGTCCGTCGACGGACCCGCGACCCCCCAGTTCTTCCATTTCTCCGCCCTTTCTCGTCTTCTCCTGCTGTTGCGCCCGAGTATGAAGCAGAAGCATGGATATTACCATGTGTCCGCAGCATCTTTGCTCTTCCCGAAAAGTGGGGTGGAGAGCCCAGCGTCGTCGACCAAGTCGTCGCCGTCGCTGTCCCGCCGCCGCGAGGAGCGATTACAAACGGTTTGTTTTTTGTTGTTTTGTTTTTTTTGTTGTTGAAATTGTCTTTCTCGATTCTTTTCCCCTTTTGTGGCGTGCTCGCGAGTCATGGTTGGACGCAGGCTGCAAAACTGTCGGACACCTGGCCGCCTTCAGTTGCGAGGCGTGACGTCTGGGAAGGAATAAGGGGCTTCTGGCCGCGAGGCCAGTGCAACCCATTCCGCAGGTTACCAGCCGAAGCGGTGTGTCACCACGGATTGCGTACGCAAGTTGTCAACATGAACGCCTCGAACTCAGTAGTTGCGAATCCCGAGGCTATGGTGTCGGTCACTTCTCTCGAGGTTGGAAGAGGCAGCGGGCGGCCTCGCTCTGATACGCGAGAGGCCAGCTGTCCCCGCCACGGGAGGGGGAGGAGGAGGAGGAGGAGGAGGAGGAGGGGGAGGAGGAGGAGGAGGAGGAGGATGCACCGACGCACGCAAGTGCTTCGCGTGGCGGAGCCAGCGCGCTGGGGCAACCTGGCGCGACGGGCGACGCGCTCGGGCAGAACTGGCGCCGCGGGCGACAGCGCTGGGGAAACCTCGGCGCCATGGGGAGCCCCGCTGCGTGCAGGGGCATTTTGAGGAGCCAGGGAATCGAGGGGGCTCAATGTCCTACCCCTTCAATATCGGGGGCGGAAAAGAGGGGGGTGATGACTAGGGGGGGGTGGATATCATGGCGCGGGCCATGATTTTTCCCCAGATCTCGTAGCGCCTCTTCTTGTTTCATTACGTCCCAGGCCCCCCCGCTGGGCCGCGCACGTGCCGCCGGTCATGATTTGCCCCCCCCCCCCTCTTGGACACCCCCCCTCTTGGCCGCTCCCGGAAATCGAGGGGGCTCAATGTCCTAAATAACGTGTTTTTTCCCATCGGGCAGGGCGAAAGGGGGGGATTGGGAAAGGGGGGGATACGAAACCTGCTGCATGCAGCTGGTTTCGGCCTCACCGAGGGGCCCATTCCTCGATGCATAGCCGCCTCCGGCGCCGGGAGGCGCCGGCAAAATCAGCTACGTGAGTTGATTCTCAACCCTCCCCTTTGCTATCCCCCCCTTTCGCCCGACCCGATCCCACGGTCGCGCAGCAGAACAGGAAAGGGTTCCAATGTCAGTTGGACCGAGCCAGAGCTCGCAACGTTCTGGATTGCGCACCAATGCGCGTCGAGTGTACGCGCGCAACACCAGCGAACGTTGAGGTGACGCGGTCCATGGCGATAAGTGTCAACTTGACGTGGGCCCAATTAGTGAGCGTCGAGTTGGCGCATGCAACGCCAGCGAACGTCGAGTCGACGCGGTCCATGAGGATGGGCGTCAAGTCGACGCGAACCGAAGTTATGAGCCTTGAGTCGGCGCGCGCCATATCGATGGGCGCCCGTTCGGCGCATGCAGCGCTGGCGAGCGTCGAGTTGACGCGGGGCATCGCGATGAACGTCGAGTCGGCGCGGGCCAGTGTGATGAGGGTCGGATCGGCGCGCGCCATATCGATGAACGTCGAGTCGGCGCTCGACGCGCACCCTCAACCGGGCGAGGTTGAGTCGGCGCGCCCGTGCTGCCGAGTGAACTGCCGATCGCGTGGGTGGCACTGCGGGGGCAAGTCAGGCAACGTCGGATAGCCCTTCAAAAGCACGGGGGGGATATTCTCCAAGCTTTCCGCGGCGCGCTGCCAGAGCGCGCGAGAGCAAGCCGTTGGAGCGGCGACGAGCGGGCGCGGGCCTTCGTGGAGGGAGTTCGGACGATGGTCCAGTTGGGCAGTCGACCGGACGCAGTTCGCCTGGCGATCGACGTTGGAGCTCGTGGCGCTGTCGAAGTCGTCGCGGCCCAGGGCGCCGGGGGCTGTCGGCGGGGGCAGCGGCGGGGGCGGAGTAGCCGCGCCTATCTTTATGATCAGCATGCATTGCTGAACCAACGGCGCAATCAATTTGGGGCCGAGCAGGGGGGGAACGAGCTCATCGGTAAGCGGCGCGATGACAGGGGTTCGGGGCCCCGTGATCGCAGAGGCTCGCGAAAGTCAATGGGCTGGGGCGGGCCACGTGTTAGATGGCAGAAATCGCAGCCGCCGTGAGTGACATGATGGCGAACAACGCCGGCCTCCAAGAGCAGCGGAATCACGCGGATGGCCGAGCCCCTGCAAATAGCGACGTGGTATGTACGTGTAAAGTTGTGCTAGTGAGCCCTCAGAAACAGGGTCTGACGCGCGCGATGGATCGAGGCGCGCGGACAAGTGGCCGCCGACTCAGTGGCTCGTTCCAGAATCACAATATGATGAAAGCCGCGGGCCTGGACGCGGCCAGATATGCGGCGGGCGGCGAATTTGCCGAGCTGGACAAGGGGCCGTAGCGAATGGGAAAAGGGTAGGCGATGAGCGAAATCAATCTGGGAGACGTTTCTCTACGATCTCTGCTTGACAGGCGTCGCCGGTCACGAGGCGCGTGGCCCCGGCATTGAGAGCGCCGCAGCCCGCGTCCATGTCGCCGCGTCCGCGCGAACTTGCGGAGTGGACAGCAGCTGAGACCCGGTCTCCAATGTCGCCGACAGAGGGCGCTCACGCGTCCGCTGCGCGCGAGGCTGCGCCGGGGATGCCGGGTGCCACGCGCGCGGCGCGCCGGCGCGCCGCGCCGGGGCGGTCTGGCGCTGGGCGCGCTGAAGACAGCAGGTGCCTCGGGCGAAGTCGGCAGAGCCGCGCAGGTTGCGCCGCGCCCAGAACTGGGGGCCCTGGCCAGCAGCTGCGCGCCGTGCTTTTAACAGCCCAGTGGGCCTGATCACTTGTCCAGGACGCGGCGCAAAAACGCGCGACGCCCCCGCGCTTCGGGGGGGTGGGCCTCGCGGCGCGGGCGGTGGATCGCCCAGTCACTGAGCGGCGTGGCGCCGCGGAAGATGCAGTTCGTGCGTTGCTCAACAAGACGAGGTACAGCGAGGCCGAAACGCTTGAATCTGGCGCCCACCTGCGGCGCCGCGCTCCCGGCCCGAGGCGGGCAATGTGCGGGGCGACGAGCGTTGCCTCGCACGGACCAGGTGCATGCTTGATTTGGCTCAGTGTGATTGAGGATGTTGCAGCGACTTATGGGCCCCTCGCGAACAGTGGTGAGTTCGAGGCATTCGACGCGAAAATAGCAACAGCATGCGTCGACCTCCTCGGCGACGATGACCGTGGGGGGACAGTCAACGCGCGATGGGGAGATGCTGGACCTACGGCCGGTTTGTCAAAGGGCGACGACAGGTGATTTGCATTGTCTTTGAGCGGTGCAAGCTGGTGGGACAAGACGGCTGCGTCTTTGATTTCGCCCGCCTGGATGCCGTGATAATGGAAGACGACAGTCTCAGCAAGTGCATTGAGGATGGGGGCTGCGCCCCCCTGGAAATGGTGGCCCCGCCCCAGTCGCCCATCCTTGATTCCCTGTTGAAAATTCAGATTGATCGTCATCGCGACCTCGAGCGCGGCGCGGTCGGCGCACGACAGGGCGGGGGGGGGGGGGGGCGATTCAATCAGAAGCAACGAGTGGCCGTGCAACCAGCGCGCCAAATTCTTCGAGGGGCGGCGCCTGCAAAATGCACGCGAGGAAATTGCGGCAGCGGGCGGGGGGCTGCTCGGCCGCGTCTGCGTGTGAGCAAGTGCGCCGCGACTGGGCCCAGGGTGGCGCGTGCAATTTAGGGGGCTTCTCCTGGCATTGCCCACGGCGCTTAAATCGGATTATTACAGGGCCGACTGGCAAGCGTGGTGCCCGCAGGGTCATGCGAGGTGCCCACTTTGATGGGCAAGTGCTCCAAACCGCGGCGCGACGAGAAGCGCGGGCCGATGCGCTGGCGTAGCAAGGGCGGGCGTTGCAGGCTCGGGGGCGCGCGCCTTTGCTCGCGCGGGCAACGCGTAGGCAGCGCGAGGCCGCAAAGGCTCCACAGAACGGCTCAGGCGGGGGAGGGGCCCTTCGTTCATTGCGAGCGTTTTGTTTTTGATGGTGGCCCCGGCTGGGTTTTGCGGGATTGTTGTTCCGTTTTGGTCCTCCCCCTCTCCGCCTTTCTTCGTCCCCTCTTGCTGCTGATGCTCCCGAGTGCGAAGCAAAAGCAGGGATTGCACGTGGCAGCAGTATCGGTGCTCTCTCCGAAAAGTGGGGTGGGGGGCCCGGCGTCGTCGACGTAGCCGTCGCCGTCGTTTCCCGCCGCCGCGAGAAGCGATAGCAAACTTTTTTGGTTTCAATTAGTTTGTTTTGTTTACTTTCTTCCCCTTTTTGTGGGGCGTGCTCGTGAGTCGCGGCTGGACGAGGTCTGCGACACTTTCAGGAATTTGGCCGCCTTCAAAGGCGAAACATGACTTCTGGAAGAAATGGGGGGTTTTGGCCACGAGGCCAATGCATTCATTTCCATACTGCGTGCCCTGTCTCTTTTTCTGCGCGCGGACTCGCTCGGCGCAGTCCATCATTTGCAACGTTAAGTGGAATCGACGCTTTAACTCGTTGTAGTGACGCCGCCCAGCCGCTGGATGGCAGCGTGTGAGTATACATCGTGGCCGTGGCCACGGTGCCT